TATATAGATATAGAATATTATCTATAATATATGTATATTATATATAATATATGTATATGTATAATATTTTCTTTTTTACTCTTTTCTTTGTCACGTGACTTTAGTCACGTGTTGTTTTTCCATTCTTCTCTCTTTCTTTTATTTTTTGAGTTTGATTTTCATGTGTTAATTTTGACATCTTTCGTATGTATTACATAGTTTATAAGATGTATATATTAGCTGTTATCGCGGTGACAGATTGTGTTCACTGATGCAACACATAAAAATGAAACAATAATAGCGTGCGCGTAGCGCGCGCTTGTGTTGTGCTAGTATAACAAAAATCGTATAAAGTATTTTCAGAAAGTTACTTGTCACCTGTTGTACGTTCGGATGAGCCACGAACGTTTTTTGCTCGTAATCCAGAGCTAACAAGAGACGTGGATATACGAAAGTAGAAGTACGACCGAAACCGGCGGTTTGTTTTAGCACGCACTCGACTTCTTCGGCTTTTCGAGCGCACGCTATCAAGTCCGTCGCGAATTGGGCCACTTCCTTTAAGATCACAAAACCGTCACAATTTTTCACGAAATATATAGATCTTTTATACACGAAAAAAACGGGTATTTGATAATATTTATTCAATAAAAGTGTAAATAAACTAATGTAATAGTTTCCGGACTAACATCAGACAACTCTTTGTAGAAAGGATAAAATTCTTTATCGAAGGAAGCTTCTCTATTGAGTTCGGCTGATAATTCGAAAGCTCGTAGAATCGGATCCTCCTCGGTTTGACAAATGTATGCGGGATTCGACACTGCTTTGTACAGAAACAATCGCATTTTTTCCAAAGTCAAGATATCGGTCTTTTCTCTTTCCGGTCTAGAAGTGTAAGAAACGTATAAACACATTAATTCTTCAGTAAATAAAATAACACTTTTTCGATATTAATTTTTTTGCTAAATTATATATAGATTCGCGCTGTTAGACAAATGTTTAAAACTGCTTTTGTGTTTATCAATCGTTTTGTTGTACACGCAAACTTCTTCGCAGTTGCAACTGGGTGGATGAGGTTTTTCCAGAATGTGACGTCGAAACCTGAGCATCTCAATTATTTCAAAGTGTCCACATTGGGCTGCCACGGCGAGAGGCGTGGTATCATCTGGGAAATCAGGACTGTGAGTGACGCCGGCATATTCGAGACCGGGCGTCAATTCGTTCAACTTGTCCATTATCAACGCGGCGATTCTTCCGAGATTGTCCCTGATTGCGTGCAGATGCGTATCGCCCGGATCGATATCTGGATGAGATAATAGATATTCGATCATCGGTATGTTTCTTTCATTAACGGCGATGTGAAGCGCGCTGACACCCTGAAAATAAAACCCTCAATTAATAAAACGAACAAGGAACAATTGTGAGAAGTTGTGACCTTAAAAAGAATTATAGTGTCAGTTTGTGTATAAAATGCGCGCGCCGTTACTTAGACATGTCAATAATTATATCTTCTGTTTTGATTACGCCTCGCTGTTTATTATCATAGTGCAGTAATAACAGCAAAAATTGTTTTTTGGCTTAAAAGAAAAACAAAAACAAAAGGATTGCTTCACATATGTGTGTACATATTGATGGAATCGCTGAAAAATGTTTAAGGTTCTTCCGGAATTTCATGAGTCTCTTTCTGCGGTGAGATAGACTTTCAGAAGGCTATCGGCTCCTCTTTTTTCGGCCGTATCCCTTTTTGTAGGAAGAATGGAACGACGGCGTTTGTCGCCCATCTGCGGCGCGTTTACAGAGGTTGGGTCCCAACAATGGGCCGGCATTATTGTTGTCGGTTGACACTAGTTACAATATTCACTGATATTTTGGCTTTTCGACAGACCCCCGAACGCATTCGTGTCTACATCCACACGCCGGACGACGACAATAACGCCTCAGTGATATATGTTGACGGTAAAAAGCCCTTCTTGACTGTCCCTTGAAAATCAGGGGCAGCTGCCGCCCCTTAATGTTTCGTCTGACTCCACAAAATATTTGTTTGCCATTTGTTTCTGCGGCTTTTTTTCTTCTGTGAACTTTTCCGCCGAAAAAATATAGGAGCGAAAAAACGTGGCAAAATGATCGAGACCACCCTCATTTGTACGAGACCACCCTCGAGACAGAAATATATCATCTAATATAATATATCTTCGAGGATAATAAAAATTGAGTGACAAATTGTGACAGAAAAATAAGGAAGAAAATTAAGGAAGAAAAGTTTTTTTTTATGTGCTTTCTTTCTTGAAGAATAAAAAAAAAAAAAAACGTCGAGAGGAAACAGTATGGTAAGAGAAATTTCGAGAATGGAATATTGAGCTGACAAAATATTACAAATATTTATTAATGAACGATGCTTTGATGCGTTATCGGAACGAGCTAAGGCTTATAAACTGTATATATACATATATACATAGAAAACACATGGAAAATAAAACATACTTAGAAGAGCTCAAAGAGATTCCCACATGAAACTTACAGCGGGATAGATCATTTGAATAATTTTTATCAGACGCCCCTTCCCCTTGCTTGAAACCATTGTCTTGTAAAAAGACGGTCTGAAATATGGTCGGAGATACACGGAGGAGACACGGCTTCTTTCTCCGTGTCTCTCTCCACACACCGGCCACCTTCTCTTCTCCTCTCTCTTTCCACTTGCGCGCCCGTTTCTCCTCTCGCCGCTTCGGCATTTCGGTCTCAAAGTCAAACAAGAGTTTGGGCGCTTTTCTGGAACCCCAAAGAGAGAAGAGTACATTGCGCGAGCAAACGAAGATGGTGGTCGCAGAGCCGGCCGAATGAGTGAAGGAAGCACATTCCACGGGGGGTACGTGTACCTTCTCGGTGGGGTGAAGATCGGAGATAACTGGACTTAGCATTGCCTTCATTCTCTCTCTGTTCTGTCTTTCCTCCTTCTGTGTATGTATGTACGTGTTCCACGTCGAGTCTTACATAAGACAAGTAATGCAATTTTTTGTCAGAAATTTTAAAAAACGTCTCGATATGCGTTTAAAAAGTTATATAATTTGTTAAGAAATTTGTTGAAAATCTTTGTCGTGAACATTAATGAGAGACGTTGCTCGCGATGTATCAGAAAGCGAGAGGTGTGTATATATCATTTACTTCGCACTATCTGTTCTCTCAGTTATCTACTTTTTCAAATATCTAGGAAGAAATACAACGTTAGAAGTAGTTGAAAAATATCATTTACTTCGCACTATCTGTTCTCTCAGTTATCTACTTTTTCAAATATCTAGGAAGAAATACAACGTTAGAAGTAGTTGAAAAAAAACATAAATTACCGACAATCGAACAATCTTAAAAAGCGATTGACATAAATATCGAAAATGCGAAAGTGTATCTTCTTTTCCTCCTTTGACGCGCAACGACCGACGTTTCAGTCAGTCCCACGTAAGCGGCGGTAACGGTTGAATCACGGTAGACCCGGTGATGGGAGATAAATTCGGGAATTTTTACGAGCTGTTTAAAAGCCTGGTTTAAAGCGCGCCGTTCGCGCGACTTTGTGGGTCGTCCGGTGAATCAGATAGAAAACGGACAAATCTGGGATAGATGGTGATTTATAGTAAACACATTTCACCGGGATGTAATTTAGCCTTCCCGTAAAGCTAATGGCATTTCGGTGACGAAACTTCCGCGATTAGATGATATTAATTGTCAAAGTGAAAAAAAAAAGAACAGAGTTTATATATTTTTTCGCGCGTAGGTTTTTTTCTTTTTTTTTTTTTATTCTGTGTAAGAAAAAATATTGTGTATAGTTTATTACGTACATTCTCTGCGTATATCATGATGATCTTGAGAACATCATGACAAGTTCGCGTACTTACTTGAAAATTTACGGCATTTACATTGAAATCTGGATATTCTTCGAGAAACGAACGCACTTCGGCGACATTTCCGTCGGCGACTATTTCGAAAAACCGTTTTTCATTTGCTTGCAAATGTGGTAACACCACACTCGGTTGCTGTAATGAAATAACCTTCGCATATATCTAAGCATTCCTCTGTAATATGTAAATTCTATTTTACACTTAAAGGACAACATTACACGGTTACTTGGCAAGAAAAATTCGGCTGTTAACGTGTCCTTTATGCGGAAGTGCTTACATGATCAAATTCATCTTCTGTCGTTTCACGATCTGTCATTATAAATGATCAATTGATGGCACACGAATCGCTTTATGCGATTATCATATTAGATTACATTTATTTATGTGCAAATTACGAATGAGACAAGACAGTTCAGAAAATTCAAGCGTATTACATACAAGAGCTTGTAGAATAAGAAAACGTCAAGGATATTTTAGGAATGATAGGAATGAAGTTGCTTTCGTAAAAAGTTCGAATGAAGTTTAGAATCGTTCGATAGTATAGTGCAAATAGAATATACAAAAATATATTTGGAGAAATTTTTACGCGTAGTAAAGAAGTTTAAACTAAGACCGATGATAATTGATCAACGAATCGGGAAATGAATAAGAAGAAGAACATAATGAATTGTTATTTGATATGGTTTAATCTTTTGGCAAGAATATACACATAAATTATTATTTAATTTTTTTTGCTACAATATACAAATAATAATAATAATAATATGTGAAACAAGTATAATATTATTAATAATATAAAATATATTTTTTTATATTAATAATAATACAACCGAGAGAGATAGAGATACTATATGTATATATAACATATATTATATATAAAATATTATATATATTTTAAGTATATTTAAATAGTTTAAGTATATAATTTAGATTTCTCAATGAAACAATTCTTACATTATTAAAATAATTAATTAATTTTTGCGTCAGTAATGATTTATCGTAAAAGATGTGACAGAAAGTATAATAATATAAGAGAAAAATATGACCTAATACAATTTACTATACAATTTAAAGGTACTAGATAAATAGTCACTGATACTGACAGCAAATATCAATCGAGTTCTTTTAGCTTACACTCTTTGCACTTTATTTCTTTCATTCAGAACTCACATTTATTTTAATTCACGTTTATTTTCATTCATCAAAAGTGCAAAAAAGAGATGCTAGAAAAACTCACATATTTACGTATATATTATTATATATATTGGTCATAAAACACATATTATCAAGGCAAAAAATAAAGCAATCTACCGTTCATCTTTCATTTTACTAGAAAGAAAGTGAAAAAAAAACAAGCAAATTATATACAATTAATTATCTTCGTTCCAAGAAGTGTAAAAAAGCGTTTTACAGATCTTTTTTAGATTAAAAATAATATTTTTCTTATTGTTTCTAATCTAAAATTAATTATAATTTTAACAACGCAGATGTGTTTAAATATAGATATGCTCTACACGTACATCAGACTTATTTTGTTAACATTATAATAAAAACAGTCAATATCTATTATTATTTTACACATTTTTTTTGCACAGTAAATAATATTTTCTAGCAAAACAGTTTTAAACACAAATATGCCGGACAAAACACACAGTTCGCGAACACTTTCCTAAGGAACACACAAGGGACACAGAAACATATTTATATTTCATAGTATATATACCACCAATATTATACACACTTAAAATATATATAGAAGGGATGAGTTTGAACCCCTAAAGCTGTTTTCACTCTCACATTACGAATCTAATATACTACATATCATTCGGTAAACACGAGTAGATCACTGGCCAATTTCATGTGTCTCTTATATATTCCGCACGTAAATAATTAAATACATAATAAAAATGATGAAAGATAGTCGAAAGATGACGTCTATAGATTGTAGTCTCTCATGTTGCGCATATTTCACTATTTACGTGTATCTTACCACGATGATAGATCATTAAAAAAGGAAAACTTTTCTCTCAAAAGTCTCAATCGTCTTGATTATTTATATTAGAGTTCGAGGACGTATCATCGCGAAATAATTGAACATCACCAAAATGGATTATCATCATCCGAGTCAAGACACATTCTTCATTTTTGTCGAGTCGGGAGATTTTCACTTGTAAAGCATGTTCGATGGCAACACGTACGAAGCCAGCGTATAGAGCATCGACGCGTACCAATGAACGCCTTCCGGCATCGTCGTCGTCGGCTCAGTGCCGTTGCTGTGTCTGACCTGGACGTGTCGCACGTCGTCGTCTAACCTTTGCACGAAGAAGGATGTCACGCTCTTCCAGATCCTCAACGGTAAGAAGGAATAATGCGCTACTGTCTGGCTGTCGACCACGGCATAACAAGACGCAACAACGTCGTCGACCAAGAGGGTACCTTCCGTCGTCAATGGCGCGAACACACCCTCTTCGAGAACTAGCTTCGTCTCGACGACGGTATCCCATCGCAAACGATTGTCCACGCTGTTTCTCAGGCTTGTCGTGGCGTCGCTCACGAGGATCTTGTCGCCGATTTGCACCATTTTGGCGAACACCGATGATCTACCTTCCACTGGCACCAGATGCGCCGGCGTCAATGTGAGAACTCGGCCGGACTTTGTGGTCAGACGAATGAACTGTCTTTTCTCGGACGGGGAACGATCTAGGAAGGCGATTACCTCGCTGTAGACGACGTCTCCTCGAGAATCCACGGCGGCGATTCGCTCGCCGAGACGAACCTCGTCCAGTCTTTTTCTGCTGCCATCCTCTGTTGTAATTATACTTCTTCCCGGGAAGCAGCCGCCAGCCTTGCCTGCCGAAGACGAATCTAAAAGTGTAAAAACATACACAGAGATAAAAGAGATGTAAGAGCGAGGTGGAATAAGAGAAAATATAAAACACACTTTCAAGAAAAGACCCCAGGACTAAAAGTCACACTGTTTACACACCAATAAAAAAAAAAAAATCCATAGTGTACGCAATATCATATATAATATTGCGTACATTATGTAATAATAGTCACATTTTTTGACTTTAAGAAAAACCTATTAATTTTATATATCTTTACATTTAAGAAATTTATTTATTGTTAAGTAAGAGCGTGCAAATTTCTCACAATTCACCCCCACACGCAGGCAGTATCGTTGAAGTAAATATAGAGAAAGAAAATTGTTTAAAAACTGTCATATTTCTCACAGGTAAGATAAAATTATGCGAGAAATTTCAAAACCAATGAAATAACTGAAAAATATAGAGATAAGAAGAATTTATATCACCGGATCCAAGATAGAATAAACCGACCATGCCATGCTTTTACCAAAACTCATTTAGTAAAAATGTCTTACACGCTACTAACACACACAATATAGTAGCAACCCACACTTTAGAGAAAAATATTCCTCGTTCGATTTATTTTAAATGAGATATCTATACCGTTTTTTTATGACAACCGACCTGTGTGTTTCTAGCCTTGATCTCTCCCGTGTGACATTTTCTAAACATATTATAAGAAGGTAAATATTAAAAAAACCAACATTACTAATAATGTATTCCTTTAATGTATAAACTTTATGATGTAAAAAAATAGCAAAATTATTAAACATGTAATACAACAAAAATTTGTAAAATAATAATTTTAAACGTAATTTTTTTGCTTCGGAATTATATATACATTATAAAAATAAAATTGATCGTAAATTGAAAGTTGCGTACATATAAAATGTTTAAACTAGCACGCGGATAATTTTCTCGCTTGTTATGTTAATCGTTTGAATTGATTACAAAAAACTAGCCGAGTGTTGAAATCGCGATACGCGTAGATCGTATTCGCACTTTTTATCATGCTTCGATTGGTTTTCCTTTACTCTATTGTTTGCCCTTCTGACCATCGACTCGTATCGATTTCGCACCGATTTCTATGCTCGATTTTAATTCAGACCGACAGGCACGCCTTGATTTATTGACATTTATTTTGAAATTCGAGACCGACCTGTGGCCTCAACAAACGAACACGAATCGCTGATTGCTCGTGCAGGTAAATACTCTGGAATGGAAAGAGAACGCCGGAGCAAAAAGTGTAATATGCTGATCACAGCAGATTTACAAGTTTCTCACAGGCAAAAAAACGTTAAATGATTTTATATAGCGTAACACGTTTACTTAAGGTGTTAAGTCACCTTCTCTCTTAACACAGCGCGACTTTAGTATTCTTGTTCTATTAAACGACGTTATTACAACTATGCATCGACTTGAGCGTCTTTATCTCATTAAATGACATCGTTACAAGTGCCATTTGGTGGTTTATATGCTCATCTTTATTGACGCAGTATAATCAAAGTTTATGTGGGTATTAAGAAGAAAGAGCTATTTAAATTTACATACACTTCGCGCAAGATCGACCGCTTTTGATTCTCAAAACGAAAATTCGTCGTTGTAAATCGGAATTCGCATTTGTATCATGTTTCTCAATAAATCTGATGACAACACTTGTCTTGAACGATATGACAAAAACCATACTAACCAGATTTAACGGAGCAGTGAATGTGCGACCTGGACTCGTAGTAGACCCAATCGAAACCAGCTTCGACCGCAAGTCTCGCCAACATTCCGTACTTCGCGCGATCTCGATCGCTTGTTGTCACATCAACCGCTCGTCCCTCGTAGTGCAAAGAATCCGGCGCGTGCTTGTGATCTTCATCCCAACCTTCGGTCACTCTCAGCTTCACCCCAGGCCATTGGTTCATCACCGAGATCGCCAAAGTATTAAGTTTCTCCTTACACCTCTATAACATTGCGCGATTGTGAAAGCAATAGCACATTAACATCGTAAAAAAAATAGCTTCATTATAATTGTGAAAAGCAACTAAACTACGTTTCTTCAATTCAGACTTACTTACAGATGTGAGTGTAATTTTTCGGATAATTTTGAGAATTTAATGAGATACCGTTTGGCATCCCAAGTGCGCAGCAACAGATACTTTCTGATTTTACGCTGTGTATACTTTTGTAACACACATCTCATATCTTTAGTGTTATATATTTTTAACATAATATATTATATTTTTAAATATTTAAGATGTGTTAAATTAAATGCTCTGTATATATACATAATATCTCTCCTGATCTATTTGGTCAAGTTTAGGATTTCAATATAGATACTTTTTTGACATTTATCTAGGGATAAAGAGCTGTCGCTCTTTCTCAAGCGAAAAGTGTTACAATCCCCTTTTCCAGGAAGTTCCGCTTAACGCGATTTCCGTCGCGTGTGAAAACATCGGACGAGAGACGGTCCGGTCGGGAATCCAGCTTGATTTCACGGTACGCGCGAGGAAAAAGAGCGGCCTTCCTCGTGACCACCGGATGGCGTCAGGTACAAAGCTTATAACGTGAGGAAAACGAATACATGTTTTGACCGGTCATGAGGTCGGACCGGGATCTTTAAGAGACTTTAACGAGCGCAGTCCGTGGCGAATCAACAGGCAAACAGGAGTATAAATACGCCCGATGTCGAGGATCACTCGGTCACGCTGAATCCTCTTCCTCTCTTCTTGCACGGAGTCAGTTCTCTCTCATTGTCTACAAGGCAGTCATGCGGTGTCGTGCGGTCAATAGCGCATTCTCGGTAACGAAGCCCGGATGGCCCGATTCGAGTGAAACGAGGCCCCCAATAGCAACGAACCCGTGTAAACTCCGGGGCTTAATCCGGAACGCGGCGTATCGAGGGCGCGAGAAGCCAAACGCGAGGGAGTCCTCTCCCATTGATCGGAGCCGCGGCATTGTCGAGGAGCATTTGAGGCGTCCGGGGCCCTTGTTCAAATCGATTTTCGGAGGGCAAACGTCCACGCAGGACCGTATCATGCGGATGACCGGACACATCAGGCGCTGCTCTCGCGTGAACGCGTTCGATGTGAGAATATACGTATAAAATGGAGGCCCGACGAGCTGCCGCGCTGTGTTCTTTTTATTTCCGGCCGAGCGCGCGGAAGAGGGCAATTTTAAAAAGGAACTCTCGATCGACTCTTACGAAGGATGAGATCGGGAGGAGGAGAAGGAGGCGCGGAATTACACACACAGGAGAATCTATTTCGAGGAGCTTGTCGATCGCGCGAGAACGCGTTGCGGCCGCGACGAATTTTGCACACTAGAGCGCGCCCGTATATCTCACCCCTTTCATTCTCGCGGACCTCAATGGCGGTCGGTGTATGCAACACAACCGACCGGTGTCTGTCGGACACGAAGCGGCTCGCGATCCACGACCACAATGAGACCCGTTCGACGTTATAACCAAGAATGAAACGGAGCTAACAATGTCCACGAATTTGCAGCTTTCCTTGCGGCAATTAGCTCCTATTGACTGCAGACGACGGCCCCTCGAGGGACCGGTCCTGCCTTTCCTTCTTCTCCTCTCTTCGCCTTCGTTTTAGTTTCTCACTCCCGGGAGTTCGGGATCCTCACACCGGTGAAAACCTTCACGCCACGTGCACGCGATTGCCGCGAACGAATCGCACGCCCATCGGCTGTCGGATGAATTTCCATTAAAGTCCTCGAGAGCTTCAAGTCAACTCCTGTATGCGCGACGGTATATATCCGTGTACTCGTTCAATACCCGGCCCCGCCTTTAATTCCCTCGTGCGTGATTCATTTTGCAAAATTTATCGCTCAAAAAACCGCTGATTCTCACATCTTAGTGACACAATCAACTATTGATCAAAATTCGCCGTCATTTCCGGCGCGTAGAAATACCGCGCTTTGTTTGGGGAGAAGCTGATTCGAAACGAATCGATCATTTTTCACCGAGGATGGAAGAGATAAAAAAAATGATAGGTCGTTGTGTTCTTCTTCCCGATGTAATACCGTCACACGCATTGTGAGGACAAATTTGTATGCGGGAACGCGCATTTCGATTTCACCAATCATCAAATATATATCGGGAGATACGCGCGTTCTTTCCTCCCCTTTCCTCTCTCCGCGCAAAGATTGTGATCAAAACTGATCCTCGAAATTTTCTCAGGCGCCTTTGGCTTTCGTGCGTAGCCTTCGCGGCGCATGATGAGAACCGAGGTAATAGAGCATGAGAATGACGATGGAGTCAAGAAGAGAAGAAGAAGAGGAAGAAGAAGATGCGGAGGAGGGGAGGGTATAAAAGGCCGCGAAGGAGTCTCATATAAAGAGAGGAAAGAATAGTGAAGGGTCTGAGAGATATATCGGCCGTGGTGCGCTATGGGGAACCTTGTTCACGCAGCAGGGTGCCCCCTGGGCCCCTCCCAGACTTTACATCTATTTACAAATATTTTGGCGGACTTGAGATGATAGAGGGTACGAATGGAAGAATGAGAAAGCGAGTGCGCGCGCGGTTAAGCCAAAGCCGAGAATGCCGGGTAAAAATCCATTTCGAGTAAAAAATGACCTGGCCCGTAATACATTAGAGGTTAAAAGGAGTGTTACGTCGAGAATCTGGGCGGAATCGGCGGTGGCAGAATAAAATTCCGCCAAGGAGCTTTTATGCGCGCGAAATGTTCCGAAAACAACCGCTCGTGCGAAATGCAAAACGAAAAGGAACCGCCTAATGGAATTGAATCAAAATCCATTATGCGAAACGTTTAACGATGCGAGCTTCTCTTGGGAAGTGTCGTTATTTAGAATATATATCCGTTTGAAGACCCCGCCGTAATACTCTTCACTTTAATCGAAACCTCTTTGTGCTTTTTTTTCTTACATATAACAAGTAAATAAATTGTATAAAATAGGACGCAAGATAACAAATAGATGTTTGTAATGTTTTGGCATGTGAGATCGAATTAATTGGTATGTAAAAAAAAAAATAGAATTCTTGAAAGTATATGTGATGTGACGAATAGCGGACGGTCAGTAACCGAGAAAACGTTTATGGGAAAGTAGTGATGAGCAGAGACGCCTGCATTCTGCCTGCGTTATCTCTCCTTCATCACTCGCTTCAATAGCCACTAATTACGGAGCGCTTGTCGCTTACACCTCGTTTACATATTTCGTATCTTATCGTTTAAACGTTCGGTAAACCCGTGTTAACTCTCGCGCGTCCACGATTCCTTCCCATCCCGCTCGTGTGTGCGTCCAGCAGTATATAATCAACACGAAGCCACGCTAAAGCAATATTAATTTCCTTGTTCAGCGCGGATACTAATTGCCCTTGCGCTGCACGTTACGGCTCGTTAAATCGCGGATAACGTTCACAAAATTGTCGAGCCATCGTCGAGAACAAAGGGAGAGTGGGTCGTCGAGACAAACGACGTCCGAGTGTTGCCGAACAGTCGGAGACGCTTGGTCGGGGGTGAGGAGGTCAAAGAGCAGGAAGGAAGAATAAAGCGGAGGTGGTTGGTGGTTCGGAGGGGGAGAGGGTAAAGGAAGATGAAGAGGAGAAGCGCACATTTGAAGTAGAAAAAACGGCGGGAGCAGAGGAACCAGAAGATGGTCCACGTATTGCATCGGAAAGGGGGTTGGGTCCGAGATGAAAGAAGATGGTGCGCGAAGCAGGACTGGGCTCCATACCAGCATCCGCAGACGTTGCCCCGCCCCCACCGGTTTTTTTTCTCTGTTCCTTCTCCACCTCCGGCCCGCTCCGGCTTTACCTTCCCGCGCGGCCAGACCAACCTTTTATTCCGATCTTCTTGTTTTAACGTGCTCGGTTGCTCTACCCCCTCCTCTCTCGTGATCCACCACCCTCCTTCCTACCCATCCCTGCCGGCGTCCCCGTCCACATGCCGGCCACATTCGAGACCCCGAGAGCGGGCCCCGATATTCCATTCACCGCGCAACGAACCGCCCAAGCGTCAGCTGATCTTCCAAGAAACCACTTCCGCCTCTCGACGGTGACCCCACGACATCTATACGCACTACTTTACATCCGTAGTTTTGTTCATTTCGGTATGACTGTCCAAAAATTCATTTCTCAAACAATAGAAAGGTTGTTCGTCGCGTGTAGAGGAAATAATGCTACCTTTTTACGGATTTTTTTTCACACACCTGCTTGCTTCTTTATTTTCATAAGATTAGTCTTTATCGAGAAAGTCTTTTCTCCTCAATTATAATCGAATTGTTTTTCTCGATTAATTGCTCACAAACAACTATCGAAAGAAGACGCAATCGGTGCACGCAGGACAATGGCCCGGGACCAAAGAGATGACACGGCAACAATGGCAGTAGTTTCAGAGAGAATCGTGCGAGGTGCATCGAGTGTTTGTCGAGCTCTCTAGATGGTCCCAGCAGTAACGACTGAAGAGCAATCCCTTGCGTCCAGAACGACTTATCTCACGCTTCTCTTCGTCTCTCTTTCCTTCATTCTTATTCTAATTTCTTTCACCTCGTAGCATTTCATTTACATGCCATACACGATTGTGCATTCCCTTCTTCTTTGTTTTAGCAAAGTCAAACATCGGAATATATTTTCTCCCTTGAGTTTGATAATTCATTGTGTTAGTATAAATATTAATTAACATTTTTTAAGAAACATTCCCACGATCAAGATATAGTAAACAAATAACAATTAAAATACAAAACTCACTCGGTTTGTTAATGAACATTTTATTTAAAATTTCTCAAGTGTTCTCCATTAGAATCAAAATTTTCTTTTTTTTTTCATGAGTTTCAAATTGTTTATTTATATACGCACTTGTCTCTTTACTTTTAATAAACATACGAAAGTTTACTATTTCTCGTCAAGTGCAATTTCCGGGAAGCCCATCGACGATCTGATGCCGATCGATCTCGCTGAGGAATTTTCAACCTGTCGTGGTTTCGATCCTTGTGT